TGGGGATCACAAAGGACGGAGGTGCAGAGGAACACACTCTCCCTCACACAAGCCAGCAGGAGGTGAGGCCGTGGTTAAAGAGCTTGGGGGTGGGGATCATCCACCTTGCGGAGGTTCTAATCAAAGCTACGGCTCCTCCTTCCACAAAAACCACATATATGCAAGCGTGCTAAACCTGACCTGCGGTTTTGGGCACAGCCACAAGCCCCATGAGTCAGTAGACCCCGGGCTCCCAAAGAACTCTGGAGAAGGCAAGCAAGAGCTTCTGCTTCCCATGGCATTGAGCCACGCACAGATGGTGCAAGCGCACCCTCCCCCAGGTCTGCTTGTGGAAGCGGGTGCTATCAGGAAAGGGCAGTGAGCCGAGATAAGGGCGCTCGGGTCACTCTGTGACACACAGAAAATGCTTTCTGATTGTAGCCAGGGGTCGCTGGTAGGACTCCCACTGATAAACTCCAGTTGCGGCAATCTCTGCTGCTCTGCACCTCTTTGGCTAGAACTTGGACTGGGCAGTTGAAACAGGACAGTTTGGGGGATACAGAAGATGGGAGAGGTCTGTGACACTGAGGCTTCCAAGTCATTTCCCACAGCACTTCTCTACCAGACGAATGCGCCGTGCCCTGGGCCACACTTGAGGCTTACACTGAAGTGACTGACACACAAGCCGGGCCACTACTCTGAAGATAACAATGTACGATACAACGGCCACTGTCAATTTCCTATCGTCTTGTTTTGAAATTCTGTAACGTTTTTATTGTTTTTGTGTTGCTTTAGTCTTTGTTTTTGTTATTGTGTTTTTGTTCTTTTCTCTTTAAGTAAAAAAATAAAGAAATGACACAGAAAAGCCGGCTAGGAAGAAGCTGGGTTCGGCTCTTCCACAGGCCCAGAGAGAGGAAGGAAAGCGAGTAGAGTTGAAAGCACAAAAGCGAAAGCTCACACCAGCTCCGCAAGGGGGGCAGTCACCAGCGCGAGCACCAGGCCGTGGTCAGTGAGCCGCGGTGCCCTGGGCACAAAGCTGACAGTCTCCTACATCTTGCGTGAGCCAGCTGTCCTTCTCTGTGACCGAACGCCTGGGAGAAACAGAGGAAAAGCGGGCATATTTACCGTAGCTCACAGTTCCGGAGGTGTCAGTCCCTGGCCACTTGGCCCTGCCACACGGGCTGCGGTGAAGCTGAGCATCACGGCGGGGCGTGTGTGGAGACCTAGAACTGAAGAGAGGAGACATCTGCCCAGGCCCAGTGCCCCCTGCAAGGACACCTCCAGTGGCCTCACTCCTTCCACCAAGCCTACCTCTTAGGGCTCCGCCAGCTCCCAACAGCACCCAGAGCTGGAGCTGTGAGCTTTAGGGCGACGCTTCATCCAAACTAACAGGTTTATGAGACAGGTTATTGACAAACAGTACCCAGGCCGTGCCCGATTCAACCTCCCCGGGAGCCCTAAGCAGGTACCAGATCCTAGTTCAAAAGTAAAAAAAAAAAAAAAACAACAACAACTTCCCTAATGACATGCCAACTCGACCGGGAAGTCCAATCGCTCTGACACTGACTCCCTCAAGGAAAATCTCCCAGGTGGCCTTAGGCAGCTGGGATTGAGGGTCAGGGAAACTCACACTTGAACCAAGGCTCTGGGCAGTCGTCCCTGGCCGCCTCCCAGCCCTTCCTGCCTCCTCAGGCCCTCGAACCTCCAGCCACACCAGCCTTTGTCCAGCTCCCCTCAGAAACTCTGCCGCCCCTCCCCGGGCGTGGGCCTACTCAGTTCCATCACTTGGAACCCTCTTCCCCTCTCCCCACCCTCCTCATTCCTCATTCCTCGGATCCTGCTCCGCTTCCTCAGGAAAACCCCCTCCGACCTCGCCCGGTCACCCAGAGCCTGTCCCGCCACCAGCCTCTGTGTTGTAACACACCGCAGCCGTGCTGCCTCCCGGCCTGCCCTGCGATTGTGTTTCGGGGCAGGAGCATAGTCAGTAACGAGACAGGGACCTGGGTAACTCCTGGTATAATACCCCGAGACGGTCACTCTTCGGGATTCTTGTCAAAAGTGCAAGATCTCAGTGTACTCATGAGAAACGATCAGACATAACTACTTCCTCCCCTGAAGGGTAAACCTCGGCAACATAGCTTTAGTTTTTTATTGTGAAAAACTTTTAGACTTGCAAAGGGTGGCAAACATCAGTTTCCATGTTCCTTTTACCTCACTGTCGGCATCTTGCCTGATCATGGTTCAATTGTCAAGAAAACACAGTCACTGGTGAAATGGCTGTTTCTGGTTATTTTTCTAACCCAGCATGCAAGGATCTCACGGTGTATTTTGTGGTCATATTTCTTTATTCTCTTCCAGTATCTGACTTCCCCTCAGCCTTGCGTTATTCCATGGCCTTGACCCTGTAGAAGAATATTGTACAGTATCTCTCAACTTGTGTTTATTTGATCGTTTCTCATGAGTACACTGAGATCTTGCACTTTTGACAAGAATCCCGAAGAGTGACCGTCTCGGGGTATTATCTGAGGAGTTACCGATGTCACTGTCCTGTTACAGATTATGTTACTTTAGTCACTTGGTTAAGGTTGTATGTGCAGGGTTTCTGTACCATAAATACAGGGACTATTTTTCCCTTCATAATTAGTGTCTTGTGAGGAGATATTTGTTAACCATGCAAAACCTTGTTTCTCATCATACTTTTATCTGCTAATTTAGCATCCTTCATTCTTGTTTGTAAGAATTATTCCTCTGGTGTTGCCCAGTGATAATTGTTTTCTACTTTTCCTCCTACACTATTGAGAGCCTGCTGTGTATAGGTCCTATTGTATATTTTTATTTCATGGCTTATAACACACTGTCATTATTTATGTTATTGCTCAGATCGCCCAAGAGTTACCCATCCAAAGCTCCCTCATATTGGTTGCTGTCCATGCCAGGTGTGGTGGCGCACGCCTGTAATCCCAGCACTCGGGAGGCTGAGGCAGGAGGATCATTTTGAGTTCAAGGCCAGCCTTGGCTACAAAGTGAGCTCAAGGCCAGCCTGAACTGCATAGCGAGACCCTGTCTCAAAAGGACAAAAAAAAGAAAAACAAAAAAAAGTTGCTGTCCTCTCAATAAACTCCCTCATCCTCTATTACCCACCACATACTCATCTTCTCATTCCTAACACATACGCATAAAACGCTTCCAGCTGTCCAGCCCCAACCCGTGAAAAGCAGATGGACCACCTGCAGCCCCCTGTGTCTTCCACGGTGTACTAACCTGTCACAATACTGCAGTGTAATTTTTTCTTCCCCAGCCCCTTCCATGTGGTTTATTACTCATTCAAAACACAGTTCATTCCTTACTAAACTTCATTTTAAACTCTGCTCAAATCCTGTTCATTTGGGGGGTATGAAAAACATCACTAAGACTCAGTTACGCAGAAAGATGTACCCAGACGTGTCCGCTCCCTCTCCCTCCACGCCGTCACTGACACCTGTTCCCTCCACGGGCAACAGATCTCATCAGGTGAATCCTTCCTTATCTAATCTTATTCAATTTAATCTCATCAGGCAAATCTTCCCGTATCTATTTTGCACACAGCAGCAGGTTCGTGCATCTTTTCTTATATCCACTTCCTTCAAACATGAGAAGTAGAACATTATACTTCTTGCACTCTGGCTTTGCACGTGACAACGTACCCTGACAAGGACTCCCTGTTCCTTCTGAGATCTTTCTCATGCTTTGCGCAGCTAAGTAGAACCCGTCCTGGGATATGCCCTGGCTCCTCCAGCCAGCGGCCTGCACTGGGATATTTACACTGTTTCCCATACTTGAGGTCACAACGTTGCAATAGGTAATCCCTGCATTTATCCTTGTTTTTTGGCGATGTTGTTAGGGGAAGGCACAGGTTTTTGTAGGGTTTTTTGGTTGTTGTTTTTGTTTTTAGGTACAATCAGCCCTCTGTATCCACAGGTTCTGCATTCACGGATTCAACCAATCACAAATCAGAAATTTTCTGAAAAAAAAAAAAGAAATTGCAACGGGCACGGTGATGCCCACCTATAATTCCAGAACTCTGGGAGGCTGAGGCAGGAGGATCGAAAGTTCAAGCTCAGCCTGAGCAACTGAGTGACTTAGCAAGATCCTGTCTCAAAATAAAAATAATGACTGGGTGTAGCTCAAGGGCAGAGCAGCCCTGGTTTTGCTCCCCAGTACCACCACGCCCCTCAAAAAAAGAAACACAGCGGGTGGTACCCATTTGCATCCCCTTGGCCGTGAGCACCCAAGGCTCAGTAGCCCTGTCTAGCAGAGCGTGCTGCGGTGAATGTGCTCTGTATCATTTCTATACCTTTGAGTCTTCACGTCCCTGTCTTTTCCCAACTTTTCTATCACATTTTTGGTCTCTTGCCCTGTAGCTTTCAATTCCCTAATAATAGAAGTATTAACCCTCTAAAAATCTATGCTGCAAATACCTTCCCTCAGTTTTTTCATTGGATATTCTTTGCCAAGCACTTTCCCCCTTTTCATGTAATCGAACTTATTAAGCTTTTCTTGCAGCTGAATCTCCAGGTACGTTTTAATATTTGCTGGCTTTGTTGTCTCAGCTTCAGATGTCGCATCCGTTTGGGAGTTTATTCGTATGGGCCTCATTTCAGCTTCCTCCAAGTGACTTTCCGGTCGGCTGAGCGCCACTTACTAAAAGTCTGCTTTCCCCAGACCCCCAGGGCCCTTGGGCAGCGTTTGAGCCTTCCACGGAAGGGTTACTCAAGCTTGTGAGGCTGCTCTCAAGGTGTGAACCGGAAGCTCTGAAAGCCTGGGGAGGGGTGGGCCGCAGGGGTCACCTACGGAAAGCACAGCATTTGGGAGCTGGGTGCTAACCCAGCACAATGCCGCAAAGGGACAGCAGCCTCAGAGACAGGCAGGAGGGCCAGTCCCTGTGCCACTGCCCCGAATCCTCCCGACAGCGCCGCCACGCAAATCCAGCCCTGCATCCCCAGGCAGGACCAATGAACACTGCAGCCAAGACCAAGCAGGACTTCTCAGCGTGGTAAAAAGGTTTATTGCTCCAAAGGAGCCCAGAACACGGGCTCTGTGCTCCAGGAGGTTGTCACACACAACAGGAAGCCGCACGGTCTGGCAGTTGCACGGAAGCCACCCTCTCCTCCCTGGATCTCTGCTGCCCGCACAGCCGCTGGTGGGGACCACTCCCGGCGGCCCCGAGCCCCGCAGCCTGCGCCTGAGTGGCCACTCGGACCTGCTCAGCCCCGCCAGAGCCTTCTGCGGGCCCCGATGCTGGATCTGACCCTGCGGGGAGACAGGCTCAGCGGGGAGCTGCCTGGCAACCGAAGGGACAAGGCAGGCGTGGTCCGGGGACAAGGCACACACGAGCCGGACACCCCAGGCAAGCCTCCAGCCTGTGCACTGTACCAAACATAGCTGCCAATATTTAAAACTTGTAAGATTTCATATAAAACCTGGACTTGGGTCTCTCCAGGGAGGGAAGCGGAGACCCTGGGCACACTGAACCCGTCGCGTTCTTCCGCGGTCCCCACTGGCCGCATCTAGCCGGCGGCTGCCCCGCGCCCACCGCGGACTGGACTGCAGATGTCTCGTCAGTGCACATGGCCTGGTTATTGTCACAGCGGTGGGAATCCTCAGGGATCTACTGTCTTTACCCAGGAACAAGGAGTCACACCTGAAGTAAGCTGTTTCTCCCTGTTCCCAATCTTCCTTGGCCCTGCAGGCGCCCGAGTTCCTAAACGACCTTGCACGCCTATTCTTACGATGATTAGCACCTGTGGGGCTGCCTTCGCCACACACCCGCCTCTCCCGCACACTCCCTGCCACGCTGACCAGGCAAACCAAGAGTGAATGCAAAATTAATCCAGAGGTTAGTGGAGGAACAGGCTACCTACTTGGGCCTCCTCCAGGCTCCTTCCTGCAGGAGGAGCTTGGACAAAAGACCAGGGTTAATACTGGTACTCTACTTCTAAGTCAGGGGTCAGAAACACTTGGCGGTTCTGGAAATGAAAGAAGCTCAGAGAAAGGAAGTCCCCGGGTGGGGGGAGCAGGTCCAGCCCGGCAGATGTGCGGGGCGCTCAGGAGCTGCCGGGCGCATCCCCTGGGGTGGGGCTGCTGGCCCCAGCCGGAAACAGAAGGGCAGTGGCACAAGCGAGGCGGCGGAGACCCGCGGAGCACCGTGCAGAGAGAGCCGGGGGCTGCAGCCGGGCCTCAGCAAACCCGAGGCGGAGGAACAGGAGTGCCCGCCCGGTCCCTCGCTCGGCTGAGGCGAAAGCCGCGTCATTTGCCCTTCAGAGAAGCGGAGATCCTGACACAGCCCAGCCGCTTCTCGCGGCGGCTCAGGACGCTCTGGATGCGGTAGTTCCCGGTGCTGAGCCAGCTGGGCAGCTCCAGGTCGGGCACCGTGAAGTTACTTCTGGGCAGGGAGTAGGTGCCCTGCGGGAGGAAGCGGAGCCCAGGTCAGGGCAGGCTGGGCGTGGGGCTGCTCCCCGGGACTGCAGCCGCGAAGGACCCCCTCCCACCGCCTAGGAGCACGGCGTGACACTGGCCGTGGCGCCGCACAGCACAGGCTGTTACAGAGGACGGGTCCCTGGGAAGGGCCCTGCGTCACACCTAGGGTCACAGCCCCCGTTTCACAGACGGGCGCTCAAAAGACGAGCAATTCTCACAGACCCGCAGACAGTGGGCTGGGCCTGCAGGGGCGCAAAGGCCTTCTTCCCACCACCCCTCGTTAGCCACAGGGCCGAGCCGCCCTCGCCCGGGACGTACTTCTTTGAATGGACAGTGGCAGGGAAGCCCGTAGGTGTGCAGGGGCTCTGGGCAGGGCTCCCCGGGGGGAATGTAAGTGGCCAGCACATTGCAGATGTCATCGTAGGTGCAGCTGCCGAGCTGCTCCACACACGGGATCTTGATCCACAGGCCAGCCACCTCCCGCTCCACGGTTAGCTCCACCTGCGGAGAAAGAGGTGCTGAAGTCACAAAAGCAAATTCCGGGGCACATGTACCAGCTCCCCTGCCTCCTTAAAAGGCCAGTATGAAGCCAGACATGGTGGCATAGCCCTGTAATCCCAGCGCTCGGGAGACAGAGGCAGGAGGATCACTGCGAGTTCAAGACCAACCTGAGCTCCACAGTGAGTTCAAGGCCAGTCTGAACTACATAGCAAGACCCTGTCTCAAAAAACCAACCAAACAAAAAGAAAGTCAGGGGGCCGGGGATATAGCTCAGTGGCACAGTGCCTGCCTGGTAAGTGTGAGGTCATGAGTTCAAATCCCACGGAAGTCCCACTCATGGGTAACTGTGGCCATCCCTCGGCTCTGCTCCCTCTCCATCCAGTCTTCACCGCAGAGCTTCCTTCCACCCTGGCCTGGGGCAACCGCCAGCCACTGCCCGGAGCCAGCTCCGGCCTGAAACCCTGTCTTCTGCATGGGAGGCAGAATGAAGGACAACCGCGCTGAGATGAGTCTGCGGGCCGCATCGCTGCCAGGTCAGACCGATGGGGCTTCCTCCAGAAGCGGCAGCTTCCCTGGGCTGTCAGGGATGCTGTAGAAGGGCCCCGCACCCTGTGGGAAGCTGCACAAGAGGTGCAGCAGGCGCGTCACAGCCCCGCACTGCCCAGCCTCTCCCACTCCGCAGGAGGGAGCGACCTGGGCGGAGAGCCGGGCCCCACGGCTGACCGGCCCCGTACCTGGCGCAGGCGGAGCAGCCTGCAGAGTAAGCTGCCCCTCGGGACGGCGCCATGAAGTTAGCTCTCACAGACACGAGTCTGGGCAGAGTCCACCGCGCCATGGACCCTGGGGCTTGCTTTACTTGAAGTTTTGTTTCTAAAATCAAACTCTTCTTCCCCTGGAGGCTGCTGGGCTCGGGCTGGTTCGGCACTCCAGGCCCGGGAGGAGGGAGGAGTCACCACCCGTGTCCTGTGTGGGCGCCTTGCCACCACCCAGCCCACGCAGACCTCCACGGCCCCCTCCCGCCCGCCACACGCTCCAGGCCTGGGAGGCCCAGTCGGAGGGCCAAGGTCAAAGGTCAGCTCCACGACTTCCAGGCACAGTAGCTGGGGAGTCACCCCACCTCCATCTGCATTCGCCAGCTCCCCGAGTGGAGTATACTGATGCCCACCGCTCCCCAGGGTCCAATGCCCGGCACAGGGCGCGGGGCCCGGCTTCTCCCCTGGCAGACACTCCCTCTCCTTTCCCAAGTGCCCCAGAGAAAATGCTTGAGCCACTTACACCCTCGCAGGAGAACCCCCAGGAAAGAGGGGTGCCTCCTTCATCCCCACCCTCACCCCACAGCAGCTGTTCCTGCGCTGAAAGCCTAGGGCAGCTCGCCTCCCGCGTGGGAAGGACTAAGCGTGACCCACTCCCCACTCTCAGTCTCCTCCATAACGGGGTCTCCGAGAAGCAAGCAGGGCTCAGCCGTAAGGTGCCATCGAACTCTCCGCTCCGGGACTTGCTCGCACTTCACGGCACAAGGAAATCAACCGCCCAGCTCCCACCAGGAGGCGACAGCAGCACCCAGGGCAGGTGTCCAGGTCCCAGCCCCAGGCTGGCATCCGCCCCCCACCCCGTCGAGGCCTGTTTCCCCACCCTGACGGAGGTATGCAGATCCCATGACTGCAGGACGACCTACCAGCACGACAGCCTAAGAACAGAAGGGGCCTGCAGTTTGGAAAACAATGGCTTCTCCTGCTCCTGGTGCCTAAACAGAGCCGGGCACACAGAGAGCCCCTGATAACGATCCCCTGCCCTGTACTGCTGCGGTACAATGCTTTTAATTCTTCAGGGGAGATTCCCAGAACGGGACTAGCTGCGTCCAATGGGACCTCTAATCCTAGTTTTTCTGAGGAATCTCCACGCTGATTTCCACAGTGGTTGCACCAGTCTACACTCCCACCAACAGTGGAGAAGGGTTCCTTTTTCCCCACAGCCCCGCCAGCATTTGTTATTGGTTGGTTTCTTGATGACCGCCATTCTTTCTGGGGTGAGAGGGAACCTCAGCGTTGTTTTAATTTGCATCTCTTGAGGACCAGTGGTCAAACTATGTGATGGTCCTCACACCGCTTTTAAAACCTTCCTTTGCCTCAGCCCCGTTGAACGCCTCAGTCACCTCTGTGTGCCCGCTGCCCTGCCCCTCACCCCAACACACAAGCTAGCCTTCAGACACTCCTTCTCTGCACGTTCCTTAGGTTGAAAATATCTACAAACCATACACCTGATAGAGGACTCACAGCGAGGATAAATTTTAAAACTCTAACTCAACAATAAAAAGAAACAAAAAGGGGAGCCTCTGGGCAACCCCGTGTGCCAGAGCCCCAGGCAGGGAGCGCTGCAGCTCCGTGAGGGGAGAGGGAAGAGGGCGCCCACCAGGCCGGACGCCCAATGCGCAAGCGTAAACGCCAGGGACAGCAGGCAACGGCCAGGCACGGGAAGCTGGGCAGGCTGGCTGCAGCTGGAGGAGGAGTGGGCGCACGGGAGGTAGAAACAACGCCGGACCCTGCAGAGCGGGCCAGAAGACAGGCGTGCCGAGCAAGCCCGGCCTCGTCCGTGGCTCTGGGATCTGGGGATTGCAACTTTAAAACCCTGCAGCACGGGTCCCAGAGGCCACTTCTGAGGAAGGCAACTCCCCTGGAACAGCTGAGAGGAGGAAGATGTCACAGGCGCCAGTGCAGCCCAAGGGGCTGAAGGCGCAGACCTCACAGCGCTGGGGCGGGCGGCGAGGGGAGAGGGAAGAACCAACCCAAAACATATACGAACTGGAAACGCGAAGGGACGGCCGAGATCATCCAAGGCCGATCTGCCCTAAGCACAAGTGAGAGCAAAGACAACATTTAGCCCAGATGTGCGACAGGTGACCAAGCAGTGGGGGTAAAATCCACTGCAGCGGCCCACCAAGCCCACCCAAACACAGGTGGGGGGGCGGGGGGCAGGCTGGGCGGAGGATGGGCTGCCTCCAGCTTCCTCGCCAGTCTCGGGACTGGCTCTCCTGGAAACCTGCGGGCCTCTGGGAGAGACGGCAGCGCTGCTCCGCCTCAGCAAAGGGCACCGAGTGCGGTGCATGCGGCCTGCCAGCCAGTCAGTCCCGAATCAGAGGGCCCCAGCTTGCCCCCACGCTGGGTAACAGCTAAAAACCTGCGGCCATCCAGCCCAGAGAGGGCCTGAGGAGGACGGGAAGTAGCAAGCTGGCGCACAGACAACACCTGTGTTTGGGTCCCAGGGGCTCCAGGCAAAGGCTGATGCCACTCGGAATGCCGGCAAGGGCTGGCAGGAACTGGCAGGTCCTGCGCGGGGCACTCTGCAATATGACTAACTCAGGCACGTTCAAGCCAGACCCAGGAGGCAGGGATTGGGATTGCGCCAAGTCGAGGCTGGTCACTGGGACGCAGGTTTCAAGTCAGAGAAAGGTGGTTCCAGAGGCAGTGGGGAGGAGGAGCAGGCTGCAGGGCAGGTAAGAACATCCTAGGAGCGTGGGGATCCTGACCAGAGCACGAGGAAGGCAGTAAGCGATGATGCAATGGGCCCACCCTTTGCAATAAAAGCCCTTATTGTTCTGTGAAGAATGGGCCACAGACAAAAACCGGTGATTGCCAAGTGAATACAGAAGGCTAAACTCACAAAGACACTTAAGTTCACTAGGATAGCACAAGAGACCGGCAAAGGTTTTTAGAACATGCTCAGAGTTGCCGAATGTGTGGAAAAACGGAAAATCCGTTGTTAGGAGGCAGGCTGCCTAGAACACCGGCAGGCACCCTTGCAATGTGCATGTAAAGGTGCTCAGGGGTACAGCGCCTGCCTGGCATGCACAAGGCCCTGGGTTCAATCCCTAGAGCAAGACCAAAACTAACAAACCTAAAAAATCTGTACCTAGATAATCAGAAAAGTATATAAACATGCATAATAAGGACAATTTCTACCAAGGTGATTTCAGTAGTCAGAAAAACCTCCCAAGACCAAAATAAACTAACAAAAACTACCCTGGAAACAAACGAAATGGCCAGCAACAGATTTGTTGCATAAAATATAAAAGATTCGCGAGAGGATACTTCTGCCATTAAAAATTACTAGGTGGTTCTATGCCAAACGTCAAGGAAAGAGGTACCAAATATCAAGTATGATGCTAAATAAATAAAACATAAATGGCAAGTTTAACAGCACATGTCATATAATCCCATGAATGTAAGAACATATACTATATTTACAAGCACATAAAAATTCTGACAGGATACACAGGTAACAATGACTACCTCTCAGAGAAGGCTACAGGAGCACTGCTTACCTTCACACACGGACAGCTATTAAAATAAGTACGTGCATCCTGGGTGAGCTTGTCTGAAGGAAAGCTGCAGAGAATACCCTACAGGGTGTGCAAAGGGCCTGTCTCTCCTCACCAGACGGCAGGGTCTCAGGCGATTTATTTCCTTCCCTTTTGACCACCTGTGCTTTCTAAGGTGACACATCACTGGCTAATTGATGCGTCTATTTTATAATTAACAATGATGCAAGACCGTTACCAACCAGACTGGGCCCAGCACTCGGGAGGATGAGGCAGGGGGATCGCGTCAAGTTCGAGGCCAGCCTGGGCTACATAGCGAGTTCGAGGCCAGCCTGAACAGCACAGTGAAACCCTGCTTCAAAAAGACCAAGGAAAACAAAAGGCTGGGGCGGCCTTGGCAGGCACCCAGCATCAGTCCTTCGTGCCCTGATCTGGGCATCGTTGAGGCTGACATCAGGAATTCCTGTAATCCTGTGATCCCGTCACTTTGAGCCTGCACGGGGCTCTGGATCTACCCATCTTGCGCTGCCAGGGGACCTTAAGATTCCAACGTCTTCTGGGCTTCTCGGAGCGCCTGCTGCTCCCCACGCCACCTCCCCCGACCTTACCTTCAGAGGAGACGTGAGCGGGACGCTGGTCTTGCCCTCCGCGCTGACGATCATGTCCCCAGGGATGACAATGGGGTCAGGCTCCACAGTCAGGCCTTTGATCACCGCAGGGTCCTTCCCTTCATCACAGTTATCCCAGGAGAAGCCGCCGAGCCGGGAAAGCTGAAGGCAACCAAGCAGCGAGGGGAGGAACAAAGCACAAGTTTCACAAAAGGAGCCACCTCAAGAATCAACCCTCCCAAGAATCGACAGGTTACGGCGGTGTCACAGGCCCCTCCCCATCCCCCTGGAACGCTCACTCCACCTTATATTTGAGACCGCACCTGTCCTGCCTGTTTTATAGACAGGGCTTTAGTGAAAGACAGAAGTCATCACATCCCCAAAAGTATGCGTACACTGTGAAGTACATCACAGGGGCTGAGCTCATCGGTCTCGGGGTGCCGCCCCTGATCTGCCCACTCCTCTCCCTGCAGCCTGGGATCCCCCTGGGGAACCAGCTCCTGGGGGAACCCCCTTCACGGCCACGTCCACGGCCCCAATCCAGGGCCAGGAATAACGGGGAGCACAAAGCACAGTGGGAAACAATGGCACCCCAAACCCTGCCCTTGAGGGGACAGGACACGCCCAGAGATCTCCAGTGGGGTCTCGCAGCCTCACCCCAGCAGGCATGCCACATCCCCCTCTCCTCCCTGAGGAGGCCCCTCTGTCCATCACCACCTTGTCCAGCCCCGCGGAGCCATCCACTCATTCCCACAGGCCCTCGTAACCCTCAACACCACACGCGACTCTGCCCAGCCCCTCAGCCCTCTTCCAGCCCTCAGAGATGGTCAGCACTCCCACCACCCATACCCAGTCTTACAGAGAAACCTGCGACGCACACCCCCAGTGAGCTCCACCTTCAGCAGGCCCAAAGGAGACAAACCCCGCTCGGCCCCAACACCCCCCACCGAAGAGAGCAAGAGGAAGAGGAGGAGGAGCAAAGGGCAGACGGAGCTTCTCCCTCCCGTGTGGGTACTAAGACATCAGCGGCTGCAGCACCCCGGACTTGGGGCTTGGGGCCACCCAGAGTCAGAAGTTGGGGTTGGTGCTGAAGCACCTGGACTTGCGACCTGGGACCAACTCAAAGCTGGAAAAGGAACCAGAACTAAGTGCTCTGCCCTTCCATAGAAAGGCAGGCCATGGAGTCGCTCACCCTGTGTACAAAAGCCGCACAGGGCGGCAGGGAAAGGCCTGGCTCTGGGTGGAAATCAAACAGCCCTGGGCTGAAGTCACAGCTCAGCCACACTTACCATGTGATTCTAGAGGAAGGGACCCATTTGGAGCCTCCACGTCCACTTTTCTTTTTTTTTCTTGTGATACAAGGTCTAACTACGTGGTTCAGGCCAACTTCCAACTCACCACTGGTACGTACCCCAGGCTATCCTCAAACTCACTGCACTCCTCCTGCCTCAGCCTCCTACGTGCTGGGATTACACATGTATGCCACCCTGCCTATCTCTGCATCTTTTTCAGTGCTGGAGATGAAACCCACAGCCTCACATATGCTGGCCAAGTGTTCTATCACTGAGCTACATTTCCAGCTAACATCAATTTTTTTTTTGGTACTGGGGATTAAACCCTGGCGTGCTCTATACCTGAGCCATATCCCCAGCCCTTTTCACTTTGTATTTTGAGATACAGTCTCGCTAAGCTGCCCAGGTGAAATTCAGACTTGTGACCCTCCCACCTCAGCCTCCCTCTGTGCTGCAGTTATAGGTGTGCGCACCGCCCCTGCTCATCCACATCTTTCAAGGGGCGGCATCTCTGCCTTCCTCTAGGGGCCGTCACGGGAGTCCGAGCATATATGCAAAGCTCGTGACACTGCGCCACGCACAAACTGCGAGCTGGCTCACGAAGACAGCCAGAAACGTTCCTGTCCCGGCCTCCAGCGTCCACTCTCTGTCATCAGTTCCAGGAGTCCCTGCACACCGGTTACGCTTCCATTTACGGAGCTTGCTGGAATGGGTTTCTCATCCTCGGAATGACAGGTCACACCATGACTAAGGTTAAGGCACGCTGGGGTAGGAACCAGCAGGTATTTCCTTCAGCATTCATTCTGCAAATATTTAGGGAGCGACAAGGACGGGTATTGCAGGATGTGTCAAGGCAAGCAATTAGACACTGTTCCTGCTCTGCCTCGTGGAGCTTACAGTCCGATGTAAACAAACATCCCCTGCTCATCCCCCAGAAGATGCGGAGAGTAGCAAAGACTCCCTTCAACAGCACAGGACGAGGAGTCACTGCCGAGTGCAGTGCATTTGACCTGGGCGGAGGCAGCAGGCACTCTCCAGGCATTACGGAAAGGCCGACAAGCTCAGGGTGCTGGACCAGGTCCCCAGAGGAGGCCGGAGGCACGGCAGGACCTCAAGGGTCACAACCAGGAGGCAACGGGACCACACTAAGACCACACTAAGATCTGTGCACACACTGAAAGAGACAGGGCTGGGAGTGTCTGGAGTTTGGGATCAGGCTGAAGGGATGGAGAGGAGACGAGCCACTTCCCAAGCTGCCTTCCCCAGGGCCAAAGTCGCCAGATGCACAAGGAAGGATCCAGGCCGAGGGACACTCCCAGCATGCCCTTTGGGAAGCCACCAAGCACCCTTCTCCCGAGGTGCTGGGGAAGATGGACAAGGTAGCTCCTGGCTGGCTGCCTCGACGGTGAAAGGTCCTGCAGCTGAGTCCAGCCTCCCTGGGAAGGGGACACAAGGGGTTGGCAGTGTCCACAAAGGGTCAGGCCTGGCACCAGGCATCTCCCACGCCAGTCCATACCAACACATGCAAAAAGAGGCTCATGGCAGAGGGGAAGACGTGGCTCTGGGGACAGATCTACGGGCAGTCAGATTGGGTTAACCCTGTATCCTGGGTGCTCTCACTAGCTGAGGTCATGGGTAAGGTAACCCCTTGAGACTCAATCTCATCTATTAAATGGCCTTATGCATCTTCTCACAGAGCTATTGTGACAGTAGGAAGCCTGATTACAGGGCTCAACTCAAGGCTGTCAAATTCACGAACAATTGGGAAGACTAAGAAACCGTCACAGGCCAACGAGCTTTGGGGGAGATGGGGCAGCCACGCAACATGGTACCCCGGAACAGAAAGCAGGCATGCATGGGAAACTGGCGGGGCCCAACTAGTCTGGAGTTTAGCTAACAGCAAAGCACCCAGGTTGGTTTCTTAGTGGAACTCGATACTTACCATGTTTGTAGCTTTTCTGTAAATCTAAAATTTTTCCATGAAGTTTATTAGGAAAAATAGGACAAGGCTCAACACACAGCACATAGTGTGTGTACAAAAGTGGCAGCCGCCACACAACACCAAAGACTCCGCCACACCTACCATATGCCAGCCGCAGTGCTAACCGATCTCCGGTTAGCTGACAGTCACCACAGCCAGTCACCGGACCAGTCAGCACTAGAGGAGGAACCGCGGGAGAAACCAGAAGAGGAACTAGGACAGGAACCAGCAGTCAGGGCTCCCGAGCTAAAGCACGCCACTTGCCACCCCACAGCTTTCATCGGGCCGCGATCACTGGGTCAGGCTCCGGATCACGGAGCCCAAGGAAAGCCGAGGGAACAGCAGATAGGATCAGCAGTGCCCCGGCTACACGCTCGTGGATGAGGCACACAGGACAACAGGTCGAAAGGCAAGGCAGGGCCCTGGCCAGACTGCGCCGCAGGCCAAGCCCAGAGCCAGCGGCAGCAGTTCCAAACTGCGCTCAGGGACGACATCCCCGCCCTCGGTGCGGGGGACAGGTCCACGCTCCTTCCTGCACCAGGTCAAGCGTGCCTGCCTTTGCCGAGGCAGGAAGTGAGGCCCGCCCCACTGGCTGGCACCGCTGTACTGGGGCTATACCGGGTCGAGATTTCGGAGCTTTCTCAGGCGCCTTCACTGAGCACCTTACAGATGAGGAATAACAGGCTTGGGGAGCCGCTGCATCCGAACAGGAGGGATCAGGCCGGAAGCCCAGAGGGGGAGACCAGGGAGACCCCGTCCCGTCCGTTGTCCCCCTCCTCGGCGCACAGCCCCCCCAAGGCGGGGTCTGGAGGCGCCCCGTCCCTGCCGAGGGAGCTGTCCTCGCACGCAGGGCCGGGCGTTAGGCCTCCAGGGGGGGCCGGGCTGCGAGCGGAGAGACTCCACGCGGGGAAGGGAGCGCTTTCGGGGAACGCGCCTCGTCTCCGGGAGCGCAGAGGGCTCCCCTCCAGGGAGCGAAGCGACCCTCCCCGCTGCACCGACCCTCCCCGCAGCGCAGACCCTCCCC